CAGGGCCCACTCTCAGAACCCCACCACACAGCAGAGAAAAGCTTAGCCAGTCAGTGGAGTCCTCCTGAGGGCGCCTGTAGGACACTGTGGCCCAGTTCACAACTGTCAGTGCCAGCACTGCCTTCTTGTCCTGTGTGAGCTGGCTGTTGGGTTGAGAAAAATGGAACAGAAGGGCAAGAGGACCAGGTCCTTTGTTTCTCTGCCCCAGGGGCTGGGCGAAGGCTGTGCACTGACTGATGTGTCCCTTCAGTCAGTCAGTCCAGGCAGCAGGTGGCTTTTAGATTTCCTTTTTAGAAAATATCTGAGAAAACAAACTCGGCATGCAGGCCATTTATGCTAAATTTTAATGGGCTTTAGCTCATGAAACGAGGCCGTATACATATTCAGAATGTTGTCTGCTTTAGCGAGAAACAAGTGGAATACAGCAGGTGGGAGATGGTTCATGGGAGGGGAGTCGCGATGTTTGATGCTGAAGCGATTTTAGCATGGAGGCATCGTTGATGTCATCCACCCTAGTTTCAGCATGAAGGTGGCTTTCTGAGGTTGGAGATGCCTACTCAGGAGTAGTTCCTGTTGGATGGCATATGAGTTCTTAGTGTGATGCTCACTGTTGACTGCCCTGGTTGTTTCAAGTGGAGATCTTGAAACAGTGGCACATTGTCCCTCCGCAAAGCAACTCCCTGGCCTGCTGTAGGGTGGCTGAGACCTGGCGGCCTCCAGATGGGCTCCAGGGTAGGAGATCCCTATCAGAAAAGGAAACCCACAGGCCCCCTTAAAATTCAGTGTCATTTAGGGGCTGTGTTTGAATTTCCATTTCAAAAATGGATGTCCTTGAAAAAAAGTAATTTTGATACAATAAAAATATAATCAGATCACCTCAGAATAACTGAATCTTTTGATACTATACTTTTAAGTGTACTGTTCACTTTACCTTTCCCTTTTGAAGAAAACATGAAAAAGATAGACGCTTTATAACTGACTCAGATAAACCTATTTAATAGGACATGTACTTTCTGCTTTCATTTTAAAGCGTAGTCCCTGGATTACAGTAGCAAACAGTTTGCAGAATCATGCCTTGCTTATTTATTTCCAGTTGGGGATGGCACAGCTGTGAATAGAGTAGTGCATTCAATTCAGCCACATAAAGATAACATACTGCATATGACTGTAGATTTAACACCAAGGGTCATTAAACTGATACCAGGAATTAATGCACATTGTAACAAAATGATGTTTAGTTATACCCATATATTTTTCTTGAAATAGCACTTTTCATGTAAAAAAATACATCTGTAATTCAAGATTAAAGTCCAGATATCCCTGTGTTACTAATCACATATAGTTAATGATGAACAGCAACAACAACAACAAAACTCTTAAAGAACAGTTACTAAAAAAAGATGCTTAGCTTTTGGGCAGTTGTGGTACAATGAGCCATGAGAGATAATTCCTGATATTATAATTCTTCATTTTAGCATGGTAATGTCCCTAACACAGGGTGACTTGTAACCTTAGCATTCATATGTGACAGAATAATTGTATCCCCATAAAAGTGACCAAATAAACCAGGGGGAATTCTGCACACCCTGAATAAGAATCAGTGGCTTCTCTGCGCCTCTCAGGTCATACTATGTTCTGCTTCTGTTTTCTATCTCTAACTGGTTCCCCATATACTATATTCTTATGATGTGGATTTCTTTTCACCAGTTTAAAAAAAAATGAGTGAATTAGAGAATCTGGCTTTTCCAGACTCTTAATACCCAAATGCACACAAGTCCAGTCTGCCACAAAGTCTGACCTCTGCAAGACTTCCAGAACTTACCCACAGCTCTCTCCAACTTGTCATCAGTGCAGAATAGGGGTTCTAAGAATCCTAGAGGCAATTAGCAAACAAGACTAATGCCAAGTGGAAACTGTCACTTCTCCAGTAAGGCCAGCCTTCTGGGGACCCCTTCCAGGGGACCCCTTCACTAGGTCTCTCTAGCACCTCAGGACCCCTGAGCAGGCGTCATCACCTTCTACTCCTGTTGCTGAGCGCCCTGGTCTCTTTAGAGCAGACTTTCAGTAGAGAGCCTCTCCCTGGTGGCCAGCTGACTGTGCCCTAGACCGTGCCCTCTTTCACTCCAAGGTGCGTTCTTCAACTCTTGAAGGCCATTTTCTTTGCCTCATTTGAAAAAGAAAATAGAGCCCACAGCCTGTGCTCCAGGTGATGAGTTCCTGATCCCTGTGGTGGTTGTAGTCTCTGCACATGCCTGCCTCCACAGGCAGAGACCATGCATGGATGAGGGAGGCCATCTCCTCCCTTCCCAAGGCCTCTGTGTGCCCTGTGGTGCTGGGCAGGGCCCACTCTCAGAACCCCACCACACAGCAGAGAAAAGCTTAGCCAGTCAGTGGAGTCCTCCTGAGGGCGCCTGTAGGACACTGTGGCCCAGTTCACAACTGTCAGTGCCAGCACTGCCTTCTTGTCCTGTGTGAGCTGGCTGTTGGGTTGAGAAAAATGGAACAGAAGGGCAAGAGGACCAGGTCCTTTGTTTCTCTGCCCCAGGGGCTGGGCGAAGGCTGTGCACTGACTGATGTGTCCCTTCAGTCAGTCAGTCCAGGCAGCAGGTGGCTTTTAGATTTCCTTTTTAGAAAATATCTGAGAAAACAAACTCGGCATGCAGGCCATTTATGCTAAATTTTAATGGGCTTTAGCTCATGAAACGAGGCCGTATACATATTCAGAATGTTGTCTGCTTTAGCGAGAAACAAGTGGAATACAGCAGGTGGGAGATGGTTCATGGGAGGGGAGTCGCGATGTTTGATGCTGAAGCGATTTTAGCATGGAGGCATCGTTGATGTCATCCACCCTAGTTTCAGCATGAAGGTGGCTTTCTGAGGTTGGAGATGCCTACTCAGGAGTAGTTCCTGTTGGATGGCATATGAGTTCTTAGTGTGATGCTCACTGTTGACTGCCCTGGTTGTTTCAAGTGGAGATCTTGAAACAGTGGCACATTGTCCCTCCGCAAAGCAACTCCCTGGCCTGCTGTAGGGTGGCTGAGACCTGGCGGCCTCCAGATGGGCTCCAGGGTAGGAGATCCCTATCAGAAAAGGAAACCCACAGGCCCCCTTAAAATTCAGTGTCATTTAGGGGCTGTGTTTGAATTTCCATTTCAAAAATGGATGTCCTTGAAAAAAAGTAATTTTGATACAATAAAAATATAATCAGATCACCTCAGAATAACTGAATCTTTCTTGGTGGCCTCAGCAGCAGCAGAATCTAGGAACCATCAAGCACCCTCTCACCTCTGTAGACCTGTCCCCAAGCTGGGTGACAGCTTATGGAGACCCACATGTCATTGGGGGCAGCATGGAGGCTGTAGACAGATTTTATAAATTTTATAATTTGGGAGAAACAATTCAATTTAGAAAATAAGTTTGAAGATAATTTTGATAGTTTCATGTCTGATAGATGTAGTCAGCTAAACCAGGTTTCACCTCCTTTCATATTAAAATACAAATCATTCTTCCTCCCACCTCATGGGAGTTAGGCAGGCCCTAGTGATAGCTGCTTCTGAGAAGTTTGCACATTTCTGTACAGAGAAACCATATCTGAAACAGTCCGTTCATGTAAGCACTTCCAAAGAATAAGTATGTATAGGAACCTATATTTTCTGCTTTAAATATAATTATATTTTTATCTGACTACTGAATGTTTGACACATGACCCTGCTCATGTAGCTTAGGTGTTCAGCTCAGGCGACACATCCAGCTGTAGGTGGGAGGCTCCGGGACAAGAAGGCATCTGAGTCACTGCGTTTGTTCCGAGCAGCTACCTGAGCTTATCTTTTGAATAAAAACTACTGTCTTACCAGAAAGTATTTCACATGTTCTTGATAATGGGACTGTGGTTTTTTACTTGGAAAGGCTTAAGCAGTTGCCAGTGACATAATGATCTTCATATAATTCAAAAAAATTTTTTAAGTCACTGTTTCTTGGTAACTGCAAATTTCATATTTCATAAGGGGGATTTTATACTGAACTTGATATCTAGGTGAGTTCATTGCTAGTCTTAGAACAGTACACACATACCAAGTTGCACTGTACTGTGGGAAGGCATTTGTATTCAAAATCACTTTTGCCTGTATATTTTGTCTATACCAGAACATTTCCCAGAGAACTTCCTGGAGGTTGCCACTGAGAATGTGAGGCCACCTTCCTGCTCATCCTCCTGGGTATCATGTATTTTGCTGCTGAGTTGCCATGACAACCACCATCACCTGCAGAGGCGGGTGATGCTCTACGGAGTTCTCTAGGGAAGGGCACCTGTGGGTTCTCACTGGCTCGGTGGCAATTGTGCAAGAGGTGGCCCTAATAAGGAAGAGACCTCCATGGACTCACTCCTTCACAGTGCCCCTGCTAGTCATACATGCCTGGGCCTGAGGGATTGTTTTGCACCCAGAACAGCTGTACGCTAAGTGGAGATGGAGTCAGAACTGCCTCCTTAGCCACATGGCTTTTCTATATGCTGAATTTTGCAAGGAAAAGCTGCATTTTGAGTTTGATGTGATTAGAGCATTAACTCTATACAAAAATACAGCTCTTTAAACAGTAAGAGTAATAATATTTTTCTTGGTAAGAGTAATATTTCTCTTTCCACTTAATTTGCTATGTTGCAGAACCTTTGAGCCACAAGTTATGATAGAACCTGAAATAACTATACTAGAGATAAATGAAATCACCAACTTAAAGAAATGTGCTTCCACTTAGGAACAGCACCGCTTTTGGAACTCCCAGGCACACGGCCCCATACGGCTTGTTTCATCTTTGTGCTTCTTACTTGCTTGTTTAGAAACCCGCCATCCTCCTATGTGTGTATTTGTTGTAAATGAGTCCCGCACTCGTTTAAATGAATCATTTTTAATGCTATGAAAATAATCAGTTCATTTCATCTTAGTTTAAGTCTTTTCTTTTTTTTCCTTTTTTACTGCTGTCATTTCTTGTGCTTGTTTTTTCCCCAGTGAGGGTTGTCGAAGAGAAAATACAATGAAGAATGTTGGAAGTCGCAAATATGCATTTAATTCCCTGCAGCTGAAGGCTTTCCCCAAGCATTACAGGCCTCCCGAAGGGACTTACGGAAAAGTTGAAACATGAACACACGGTTTCCTCTAATTAGCTGTCACCTCATAAATGTGGGTACCCTCTAGTGTAATATATGAATTCTTCAAGAAGACCAGAAGGATTGGCTTTTTATTTTTGTGATTTTTGAAAATATTTCACTAAAAAGTCTATGGAGCATGTTCTTTCCATTGGAATCCATAGGTGGTAATGTTGGCTCAGTAGTGTGGATAATAACTATGCCCATTTAATTAGCCTTCAGCTGTCAGCAAAGCTAGCACTGGCAGTCACCTAAGAATCCAGCTAGCTCCGTCTGAAATACCAGAGGACTTTTTCAAATGTCCACTTAGGTGCTGCTCACCTAACTTATTTATACACTGAGTAACTTTAAAAGTGAGCACTGAATTGCAATCTTCTTAGAAATCAGAATGTAGAACAGTAAGTCATCCATAAAACAGGTGGAACTCAGGCATTAAGTTGGGGGGCTCATTCTTAATGCATTACCCAGTGGCCACCATCACCCATGAAACCTGAAGTTGAAGGACTGAGTGGTCAGCCTGAGCTAAGCCTCAGTGTGAAGGTAACCCCCGCGAGGAGCCACACATGGGGCCACCTCTCCTGCCCTGCAGGAGTTCCAGCACAGGGTGTCTCAGAGCCAGCAGCAGTCCTTTGAAGCACCACTTGTAGGTCTCACAGTACCCACAGGCACATTGCTCCCTCCTCCCTGGAAGTTATGGCCTGAAGGACCATAAATGTGATGTGGCTGGTGTCTAAGAGACAGTACTTAGGTGAGGAATCTGTGACTACAGAGACAGTGGAAACCTAAATATTTTCAGAACAAAAGTTCTCTTGTGGGATTCTCAGTAGATCTTTTTCTACAAGACAATACAATCATGTTTGATCAAGTCTGAGGAAAGTGGCTTATTTTTAGGTTTGCAATAATTATGATGTTCCTCTTCTCATTCTGTTATATCAGGACTATTGAAAAACAGTCAAGGTTAAGCTTTTCAAATGAGATTTTGAAAGGTATTTATGGGCCAGGAATCTTTGAAATTTCGTAGACAATAATGTGTGGTCATCTTTTATGAGGTGATGATGAGTTTTATCTGCACATAGCAGTTTTCCATAGGAGTTTGTATGTTTTGTCAATTTTTTATCATGATTATGTTTACATATTATTTTAAAAGGTTGTAAAAGTACATGTGGCACAAATTAATGATGCTGATTCTAATGATGTGTAAACATGTTGGAAATACATAGACTTCTAGATAATAATCTTTGGGCTCCTTTAGAAACTCATACCGACTTGGACCTGGAGTGCTGAAGTACAGGAAGGACCAGTCCTTGGCAGGGACATAGAGTAGATGGGCACCCAGTAGGGGTGGAACTAGGTGACCAGGCAAACCCCTTCCTACCCAGAAGGCAGTGTGCAATCAGCCTGCTATTACCTGAGCCAGCTGGGAGAAGTATGGGAACTGCTGTGGGAATACGTTCATGAAGGATGGTGACAGCTTGCCGACCCTTCCTCATCAATGGGTTCACTGTAGAGAGCAAGTGGCGGAGAAACTCTTGTCCACCAAACCTGTTGGTATCAGATCTTCCCCTTGGTCAAAGGCAGTTCATTCTCATGGCTCATTTAGCCCTTCATCGCTACCATTTGTTATTTTTAGTTCCATCTTTTCCTATTTTAACATCACTACCTTTCAGAAACGTTTGTTTTTTAAATTAAATGTTACTCATAATGTTTCCTGACCATTTTTGTCCAAAGAATACTAAATATCTACATTTATAAAGGGAATACAGCAAGTGTTGACTCATGTGTCAGCAGTTTTGCATGGGGCACCTTAATGTGAATTATTTTTCCAATTTTTTGGTTTCTGTTATAGCTCATCATAAAACTTTTAAGACTTGGCTGTGTAGAAAAGATTCTGGCTTCAGTGTGCTCTCTGAAAGCATGTGACCTACTCTACTCTTGGTGGCATCGGGCATGCTGCCCAGCCTCAGGTGGATCCACTCCTTAGATCCACCTGGGGGACACTGAGCTTCCTGCCGTACCACGGAGGCCATGTTACAGGTTCCATCCTGTGTCCCTTTGCCCCCTTTGAAAAAGAGACTATGACATAGGGACAGTGGGAAGGTTGTGTGCGTCCTGCCAGAGCTCCTGCAGCACAGTTGCCTTCAGTTTCCTTTAAAGATGTAAAAATATTGTAAAATACATTTTTGTCCCCACACAATTGTATTTGCCAAGCTAGCTGTTAAAATACTTTTATTTATTTGTTTTGGGCAGTATTAATATATATATAAACATATAGTTACTGTTTTATATATTCTTAGATCATTCAAAGCCATGAATGCTGTAAATGTGCTAGTCTTCAGAATGACAGATAATAAACAGCTGACAACATGAAGCTGGGTTTTGCCTCGTCATTCCCCACATCAGAGGCATCAGCTGGATGGCCAGTGTCACCTGGTCCATCCCTGCTGGGCACTGCATCCTGTACATTGGTAAGCATGGGGCCCTGTGAGACTAATGCTTTTCAACCTTCATGAATAGACATTTCTCCAAAGATGACACACAGATGGCCTATAAACACAGGAAAATATGCTGAAATCATTAGCTACTAGGAAAATGCAAATCAAAATCCCAATTAGATACTACTTCATACCCAGTAGAATGGCTGTAATCAAAACAAACAATAACAGCTACTAGAGATGATATGGATACTGGAACCCTCTACATTTTTCCTGGGAACATCAAATGGTGGTGTAGCTACTATGGAAAATTTTGACAGTAATCAGAATGTTAAAGATGGTGTCATACTCCTATAATCTACTACCAGGTTTATACTTGAGAAATAAAATGTGTCCACAGAAAGCTTGTTTACAGATAATCATAGCTTTATAATAGCCCTAGAGTGGAAGCAATGCAAAGTTAACTGATGATTGGATAAATAAAATGTGGTATGTTTATACTATAGAACATTATTCAGGAGTAAGTAATAAAGTACATAGATGCAAAAAAAAAAAGTACATAGATGCTGTATATTGATGAACCTTGACAGTATGCTGAGTGAAAGAAACTAGTCACAAAATGCCACATACTATATATACTGTATTTTTATTTATATAACAAGCCCAGAGTAGGCAACTCTGTAGAGACAAAGTATACTTCGTGGAAGAGGAGAAGAATTGAGGAGAGACTGCTGGGGGTATGAGTTTCTCCTTAGAGTGATGAAAACAACTTGAAATTGTGGTGATGGCTACACCCTCTGTGGATACAGTAAAAATAATACTTAATTGTATAGTTTAATAGTGAATTGATGGTATGTGACTTTCTCCAAATAAAGGCTCAATAAAGCTGTAAATAAACAGAAAAAAATGGGGTTATGTATGAAGTTATAGCACTCAGGCCTAGAAGTTTAGTTCAGTGTTAGAGTGCTTGTGTAGCATATGAAAGGCCATGAGTTCAATACCCAGCACCACCAAAAAACAAGCTGTAGCACTTAAGTAATCAACAGTTATTGAAGAAATCCATTTTTCTTTACCCTGTGAAAAACAGTGAACACAGCAGATCTCAGTGATATTCTGGGGGAGTCTCACAACTTCTGATGAACCTTGACTGAGCAATACAATACCTTGATTGCTTTATCTCCATTTAACTGTGGAGACACTATGGCTTTTCATTGATCTTCAGTGCCAAAAATAAAGTTGGAGGGCTGTAGATTTAGCTCAGTGGTGCTGCTGCCTGTCTCAAAAGTACAAAGTCCTGAGTTCGATCCCCAGCACCAAATAAATAAAGTTGGAAACTTGGATTCCTATTTGGCTTTACTGAGTGAATATCTGTTGTTTGGGTTTGCTCCACTGCCCTTTTTAAGTATTGCAGATCAATCATCCAGTGTGATTCTAGTGGTTGTTATCAGTCACAGGCCTGGCCAAGGTCAGGTGCCTGGTGATCCAGGGAAGACCCAGGTCTCAGTAGGATCTGATAGGGAAAGTTTACTCTCTCCCTTTTGGATCTCAGATGTTAAGGGTATGGGCTTAAGGCTGATACTGGCTCCTTATATGGAGTGTCGGCCTGCCAACAGCCGAGAGAGGTAGAAGGAGCCCTGGAAGTATCCTCTAGGCTGGCATCCAGCTGTGCCAGTGGAGGGTTTTAAAGTTTCGAAGTTGGTACTTCATTGAATCAGTGCAAAAGGACATTTCTTCTCCAAGGAATAAAATGTAGTTTATTTAAAACCAAACAGGACAAACTGAATAAAAGAAAAAGTTTTATCCTAAACTTTTCTAATAATCTTCATCTTGACAGGCTTTACATTATTGACTCTGTCAGTCACATTAGTGGCTTCCCAATATACAAACTTTAATTTGATTAAAGAGTCCAGTTTGAAAATAACCTTACCATTCCTTGTGTTTTAGGACAATCCTTAAAACTGCATCTAAACTGATCTTCTAAAAACAATGTAGATCAGGAGAAGTACTTCCCTTACACATATTAAAAGAATTCATGTGTTTTTTCCATTGTTCTATGGAGAAAACTCATCCAACCAAACAGATACAGCAAAAATGACTGGCTTTTCTACTTTAATAACCAGAGAAAATCCTTTGTTGGTTTTCATCTTGTCTTCAGCAAAATGGTATCAGTATCCTTTTCTTCCTCTGAATCTTGATCTGGCATCCAACTGAAAACAAATTACAATTTAATCAAATTTGGTATAATATAATTAAGTAAACAATTTTGGTAAGAGGTGTCACTACGTGAAAGAAACCAGTTTCCATCAAAATAAAAAAGGCCATTGTCAGAGCTACCTAGAAGAAACACAGTAATAAACATTCCCTCAAAGACAATAAGGGTGATTGATAAAGATTTTCCTCTCAAACTATGTTTTCCTTTGAACAATCAATATACAAATTCCTAAAAACTTTTTAAGTTTTATTTAGGTTAATATTCAGATGTATTTGAAATCTTTAAATAGTGATAGAAAAAAGGACAAAATCCTTAAAAACATTCAGTAACACATAGTTGTCTTGGTGTTAAAAACCCTTAATGTGAGTTCCTGTGTCTTAGGGTGATGGCACAGTCCTTGATGTAAGTCTGAGTGCACCCACTTCACAGTGGCGAGCAGAGTGGAGACTTCTAACAGCATAAGGCCAAACTGCATAGAAGGTAGTGTCATGCTCAGAAATTCCACAGGAAGGAACTATTTTGGAGGTGGACCTGGCAGTAAATCCAACACAGCCATATGGGAAAGCCAGCTACTTAAATCATCTGAGCACAACAAACTAAGCTAAGAGCCATATTTTTAAAAATAAATCTTTAAATGTGAACCACGGTCAAAATGGTGTACTGTTCATACTATAAGAGAACAGCAGATTCAAACTCTTAGGACATATGTCGGAAACAACAAAATTACCTATACACTAATTACAGTCATCATGTTTCTGGTATTGCCACGCCTGTGTACGTTAAACTTAAGTCACGGTAAGCATGATATGACTCCACCCTCAGTAGGGATGCCTGCCTTGGGGAAAGAGTGTAGCACCTGCTAGAGTCTGCTAAGAAGTTCCCTGGACTGCTCTTTCTAATGCTACAGTAAGTGAAGCACTGCAGAAGTCAGGAGCACTTTTACTTTATTCTGCAGGAGGTAGGTAAATTATGAAACGGAATTTGTTAATATTTTTGGAGATCAAAGAATGACCTTCAGGTAAGGAACTTCAGGGAATTTAAATCCAGTCATTCGATAGGTTTGCATAGTACAACTCACTGTTATTGCTTACCATAATTCTTCTGACTTGTCAATGATCTAAACATGCTTTGAAATTACTGACACATCTGAAGGTTTCATTGTACTTAGGTAACAAACTATGTGAAGCAAAGGGAAAAATCCTTCCCTGTATTAAATGACAAGAAAATATGGATGAGAGCTGTCACTTGAGAAAAGACAGTATGGCCAAATTTAATCACTGGATCTGATAGCTCAAATTCTTTGTTAAATTTCCCAGGTCATAAACATCTATACCCTGTTTCTTTTTATGAATAAAAGGGATGGGTTTTACAGTGTATTTCTTAAACTAACCAAAGCATGCTCAAGTTCAAGCTACTGCCTTATTTAGGTGATGTGTACGTCTCATTTCATAATTTTTTCAATTAAAGTGTTCTCAGCTTTGATTCTGAAGATCTCTAACCAAAGATTAGCACAGAACCAAAAGATTTAGTACTCTTTTCTTAGGGCCCCCTTGTACAATCCATCACTCCAACACTCATACATACTGACACATTCTTCTAGCCACCTGGGCAGAAGTGCGTACACCTTCAGCCTGCACAGTATGGGTCTGTGTATAACGCTGAGTGACTTGAGTTCACAGTGACTGCCATCAACTCTGACCCATTTCCACTAACTGAGGTTTCATTCTCACACTTTCTGGACCTTGTGAAGGTCAGCACAGCTGTGGTCTGCATCATGACAAGGTAACAACCACCAAAGAGGGTCCTTCATGAACTACCTAACATTTAACTCCTTGGAGTAAGAGCTATTGTCTACATCCTTTTTTCCAAACTATACCACTGCAACCTATAATTAAGTCACTCAAATACTTAGCCCTGGGTAAGCTATTTTTTTTAATTCAAGGTTTTTACAAATCTTTAAACACTTACCATTGATCTTTTACACTCAAAAAATGAGTATTTCAGAGCTTTGCAATATCCTTCCTTCAAGCACTCCCGAGGGGACTTTCCTTCCTGTGACACATAGAACAATATAAATACCTGGGAAGTTTCCTTCCAGAGTTCAAAACAACTGTCCCTCTAAAAAGTTCTACTAAAGAGAAAAAGTTAAATAAGAAATGGTTCTTAAAGTGTTTTGATTGTTGAAGTTTAAAGAGAAAAGGCTTAGAATGGAAAATTTTAAAATAACTTTTAGGCATTTTAAGGGAGCTCTTGAATTTTTGAAAACACTGGTTTCAGTGGAACATTTTTCTTTAATATATTTACATAAAAATCTAGAGCCTGGTATCTTTGGCTCCTTAGGGGTGAAAATCGTCAGTCAGACACCCTAAACTCAGAACCTTGTTAGTGTTGGTAGGAAACAGTTTACTCAGATGCACGTGAGGGAGGCTGGGGACCACCTCCAGGAAAGTGTAACCCCATTTTACCTGCAGCCATGTTTTTCGTTTTTCCCCTCCAGGAAACCTTCATTCTGCAACCCAGCCGGGCGGAGGGGGGGGGCACGTGACTCCCCCAAACCTTTACTTCACCAGTGACAGTCACACTTTACGAGTTTGCACTGTGAAAAAAGCTTCCAGGTACCATCCCTGTGGTGTTCCTGTTCCTAGGAATCTTGGCCACTTTCTAGTCTGGGTCCCCTATTTTAGTTGTCATTGACCTCACTGACTCAAAAGTGGAGAGTGCTGTGGCAAGCTTCCTGGTGCTACTCTTCTTCCTCAAACTCAGGAGGGGTAAGCTGTCCACATGATAGATATGGGGGCAGATAAGACTAGCTATATAAGCTGATGCTTCCCAAAACTAAGATGCTATCATTTTCACAAACTTTCAACATACGCTGCTAACTGCCTGGTAGAAAGATCCATCTAGATACATTAAAGCTGAGAGAAATGTTACTTCACCCACCCCCACTCCCAGTAAGACTTCCTTGTCCCTTAATAGTCACATTGCCTTTTCAATCAAGCACATGACTGAGCTACATTTCTGTGGGCTAGTCTCTGTGACTTAGTTCTTTTTGGCCAGTGGGCTGTTCGGGAAATGTGTAAAAAGGGTTTAAAAAAAAAAAAAGGCTAGTCCCTAGTGGAGAGATAAAAGACTATAAAGCCTGATGATGTATGTGGTAGTGAGGCTATCTCAATCATGATAACAACGTCCTGTCTCCTGTCAGTTCCTAGGGCCATAAATTAGCAGTATACAAGTCCCTGGAAGACAGGAACATCACCAAGGCCCTATTCATAAAAGACGTAAGAGCAAAGGCAAGAACTCTACCTTGTTTAAGCCAATGTTAAAATGTACTCATATCTATATCCTTATTTACTTCCAAGCTTTTTTGCCTTCTGAGATCAAAACCAGCCAGTGCTGCCAAAAATAGCTGTGCCCAAAAACCAACATGGTAGACATTTAACTCCCTGGGTTGTGAGGATAGCAGTGGAATCTGCTCTCAAGCTCTCCTGCCCCACCTGTAGGTGATTCTGAAGAGTCAGCAGTTCTGGCAATTGAAACTTTCTGACCACCAGGCGTCATAAAAGTAAGAAATATACCCCAGAGGTGCCTTTTGCATCTGCTTTCTCCTTACTTCTCTGAAATTTACATTCTTATCACCATCACTCTGAGTTTCTCTGGGTCCCTACAGCTTTCTCCAGTGAGATGCTGCAGATTTCAAGAGAGTTTTAACTGTGCTGACAAGGAGTGGCTATACCACCCATCTGCCTGAAGATCAGAGTAACATATATTCCAGAAGCTAAGGAACCAAGACTCCATGAAGTGGCCACACAGAGCAGCAGCTTCCCTTAGCATCAGAATTCTAGTGGGGGTGGTGTATCAGCGGTGACCAGTGACACCACCCACAAAGACAGCAGATTGTCTTGAATTGCAAAGTTCAGTACTCTGCCTCACCACTGCCCTTCCATATTAGCTGATGTCACCATTGAGGATTAACACAAACTACAAACACACTTCTGATGGAGGGACTGTATGTAAACAGCAGCCTCTTCTGGAGAACCACGTTCAGCATCAGTAAGGCTATGTAATGGAGGAACACCAAGCCTGAACCAAGTATCCTGGTCATAATCTCTGTGTAAGGCTTTGTAGCTTTCCAGAGACCCACTTTCTCCTCATGGCAAAAGGCATCCCATTCATCAGTACTATATTCTCTAAACTCAAGCACTGGTACTTGGAAATGTGTTTATTCAATCACTGCAAAACAAAACAAAAAAATCCTCAACTTCTAAAACAACCAACCAACTTCTTATTCTTGCCGCTAGTACTATCCACGTTCTCTCCCATTGCTCACCTCCAGGGCCTTCCTGGTAGTGAAAGTGATGATTCCAGCTCATCTGACACATGTGGGCTTTCATAAGAGACTGCAGTGTTCTCAAGCCTCCTGTCACAGTCCCCATGATCCAGGTCCTCCCACATCTCCATGCTTCTACACTTGCTGTGCATTCAGATCCTCCTCATGATCACAACAGCCACCACTCCTTTATTTGATAAACTCTTACTCAGCCTTTAAAACTAAAGCTCAAAGGTCACCTCGTCTGTGAGAAATTTTCAAATTCTGAAGCACAATCAGTTGCCCTAAACTGGACTCATTTTTTTCCCTGTGACTGTAAACAAATATTTACTAAATGGCTTACACAGGCCTTACTACTGGAATTTGTCTGTCTCCCATCAGTAAAAGTTCAGGTCAGAAGTAAATACATTTTTGTATCACCAGTGCCTGGCACCATGCCTGCCACTGAACAGGCATTTATTTACTAGGACCTTGTTGAATAGACACTAGTGAATAAAACAGCAAATTAAAAACAACCCTGGGTAGGGGAGTCTGAAACCACAGGTGCCTCAGTTTCCTCATGTGCATAAAGAAGTTGGTTTTGATAATCTCATAATAACGCTGAAGTTTTACTAGACACTGGGAGTTGACTCTAATTGCTAAAATCAGTGAACCAGGCATAAGTCGTGATTCAGTATAAACATTAATAGAGGGCGGCCATCCAGTAATCATTTTTTTTGAAACGCAAGCAGCCCTTTGAAACTACATCACCAAATGCAGAAACAACTGCACACAGCTACCTGACTGCCCTCTCATCAGGCTTCTGTAAGGAAGAGGCACTTGTGTGCTTTACTCGGACTCAAAAACTCGAGTCCCGGGTCAAATTTGAATTTAATTGTGTCCCACAGCAGTCAGGTAGAGAGGATTAAGGAGACTCGGGACTGTAGCAAGGGAAGAAAGAGGGAAGGGGTACAGACGTGAAAATTTACAACTTAATGGCCAGGAATGTAGAACATTTCAACTCAAGAAACAAATTACTTATGAGAAAAGGAAGGAATGGAAACAAAGTCGGGGGCGAGTGGAAGCGGGGGTGGGGGGTGGGGTATGGGATGGGATATGAGAACAAAGATTTGTCATTTAAAGATACAAGATCCCAATGATAAATGTAACGTACTATATACTTAAAACGTACCAATAAACTCAACGAAAATAAAAAAATTACTGTAAAACCAACTCAAGACAAATATAACAGATTCAGGCCAAGAGAGAACCTGCTAGCCCATACCGTGCACCAGGTCAGGTTTATGGGACTCAACATAATTCTTTCCGCACATTCTCATCTCTTAACACGCTCAAGTACTTATTTTCCCTGCCTCCAGTATTTAGCAGGCTTCCAGCATTCAATAAACGTTTCTTGAACCGATACGGCTTAATATTTATAAAAACCCGACGGGGCGGATATGGTTATCTCCCATTGAACTCCAGAGGGAACACAGGATCAGACAGCTCAGGCATCTGCCCGAGCTCAGTAACTGGAGCTATGACCTGCACCCAGGTCGCGATGGCCACCGCAGGCCGACAGGGAAACTTCTGCCGAGCCCTGCCACCTGAATGCAGGCGCGGTCACCACCCGGAGTGCCCGGCCGCGCTACCTGGAGCACACAGTCCGACTGGAGCAGACATGCGCCCAGGTCCTCCTTCAGGCCCGCGCACGCGCCGCCCTCTGGCTTGTCCTCGTAATAACGGGGCATGACGATGCCTCCCGCCCGCAGCAGCCTCGAACCTCTGGGTCCCCAGTCACTACCACCTGTCTCGGGGGCAAGCGACGCCCACAACCGGAAGAGGTTGAGGTAACTTCCGGCATCTTGGTTGTCGAGCGGAAGGACTACGAGTCCCGACAGGCGCGCGCACGACCGGAAGTGGACACGCGTGACGTAATGCGCGCCCTGAGCGCCGGCTACGTAGAGGGAAGGAAAGTTAGACAGGCCGCGGCTGGTTTCAGCTGCTGGGCAGTGGTGGCGAAGTAGCTCAGATCTCGATTGGGGTCACACCTGAGCCGCAGGTGAGACCTGTAGGCTTCTCCCTCGTGCTACTTGTGTTCGCGCGCGAAAGGGCCTTTCTTCCGGCAGCTCGTGGCCGGGCGTCACGGCGACCCGACAGAGACCATTCCCGCGGCTGACCCCTGGGACCCTTAGCCCACGCTCGAGTTGCTGGATAAAATCAAGGGCTCACATTGGAGTGACAGGTAAAGTAATAATTTTTAAGCATTTCTAAAATATTGCGTGGGACTCATTCTTTGCTTGTTCGAACATCCAATGTAACTGGGCAGACTTTTTATTCGCTATACTTGACAGCCGCATCTGAGGCCCCGGGCTACTGGGGAGCACCTGGGCAGGGCGGGGAAGCCTGCGAAGTTGATGGGGACAGGCGACAGAGGTGTGGGTGTGGGGATCAGGCGATGACCTGCGCTCACTCGCCTTCGGACCAGCTGGACTGGACTCCCAAGCTGTCATTCCTGCAGGTGGATTATTTTTCTGGGAGTAAAACACTGTGGAGTTTTGCTTTGTTCTTATATCACGTTCTAATGAACGAGGAGCTTGCTGGTCGCACTACGCTGACGGACCTGTGTGAATAATGTTGCTTTATAATAGACTTAAAGACTGAAAGGCTTGTGATTTTAAAAATCAGAATTTGGGGAGGCTAGAGAGAGGTGAAGTAAGAAGCAAATGGATCATGATTATGTGTTGTTATCTGATTCTCAAGGCGTGGCATTGCCCGAGCGGGAACTGAAATCCGCAGTTTTCCCCGCCCCTCAGCAGGGACTCCGTTCACCTTTGACCCCTGACCACTCAGAGGGTGGAAAAAACAAAGTGACCTCCCTCCCTGCTTCATAACTCCAAAGAGAGGGGTGCGGTAGCCAACAAGTTTCTTTGGATTATATGTAAAAGGAATTTTTTTCTTCCATCTAGGAAGATGTTACCAAGTACTTCATTGAATTCCTCAGTGCATGGGAATGGAGTCTTGAGTTCCAGGGATGCAGCAAGACACACAGCTGGAGCAAAGCGCTACAAATACCTCAGGAGGCTTTTTCGTTTTCGGCAGATGGACTTTGAGTTTGCTGCCTGGCAGATGCTTTACCTATTTACTTCCCCACAGAGGGTTTATAGAAATTTTCATTACAGGAAACAGACAAAGGACCAGTGGGCCAGAGATGACCCTGCTTTCTTGGTCCTGTTAAGTGTCTGGCTCTGTGGTAAGTCTTAATTTTTTTATCTGCCATAGAGTTGAAGAAAAAAATATACTGTTTCAGAGTAGGCTTGTCATTTGGAGGCTCTTTTGATATGTGTTGTGGATCTGAATTTGAGGGCATTTGTAACTGTTTCTTCCTTTTCCCGGCACCTTCAAAAAATCTCATAAGAAAGAGATGTATTCTTCCATGTCCCAAGCAGATGCCCAAGTAAATTAAATTACTACTTCAAGACTTTGAAAAGCAGGGACAAGATTTACTCTGTGTCTTTTCGCTACTGCAAACTGATGTCCAAATCCATCTTGCCATGAAAAGGAATATCAAAATCGGAAGTTACACTTCACAGATAGGCTAATCAAGAAAGTTCTAAAACTACTGATGTGAACTTGAAAACCTGCTTTTACATTCTCCAGTAGTGTATTGAATGGGTGCCAATCATGTTAAACTGTGTAAGGTTTTGAAGTGTGTGGAGTGTTTTTCACCTTAACTGGCTTTCAGATGTCCTCCTCTATACCAGCACTGTTCTGAATGCCACGACTACATGGTGAACTATTATGGCCAGAGCCCTGCTCTGTAAGCTTCATAGATCTGCATTTCAAAGTGGTTTGCATTTCTACATCAGTTACATAAAACAAAGAATCTTTGGAGTTTTATTTTGGTGTCTGTATGGAAAACTAGTGGCCAAGTATATTAACTTTCTATTGCTGGGATAAAATATCCGAGATAACCTAAAGAGGAAATGTTTATTTTGGCTCATGGTTTAGGGATTTTAGTCCATAGTCATTAGCCCGTTGCTAGGGGCCTGTGGTGAGGCAGAACATGGTGGGTAGTTTGTGGTTGAGCAGAGCTGTTTACCTCATGATGGTGGGTAGTAGAGAGAGAGAGAAAGGAGCTTCAAGGAGGGTCCTGACATCCATTTCTGGGGAACAACCTCAGGGACCTGACTTACTTCCACTAGTCCCTATCTCCTAAATATTCCATCTCCTTCTGGTAGCATCATAAGTTGGCAACCAAACCTTTCGGACATAGGCCTCCAGGGGACATTTAAGATTTAAACCATAATACCAAGGAATACGTTCTGTATCCCCAGAACCTAGCACAATGTCTGAATGAATCTTGTAAATTTTTCTTTCAGTTTCCACTGTAGGATTTGGTTTTGTGCTGGACATGGGATTTTTTGAGACAATAAAACTTCTCCTGTGGGTAGTATTCATAGACTGTGTGGGTGTTGGCCTTCTGATATCAACCTTGATGTGGTGAGTACCACGAACTTTGGTTTTTTAGACACTGTAGAGTATTTATTTGTTTCCTTCAGAGGTACAGTAGCGGATAGAAATTGAGACCAAGATGAAGTAACTGAAATGATCAGTTTTGCTGCCAAGGGGTTATAACTTGCCTTCCTGTGTTAGTACTACTATCAGGAAATTTTTTAAAGGGATGCTCTATATGTCAATATAATAGAAATAATGATTATATAATTATATAATAATGATTATATAATAGAAATAATGATTATATTATATTAACAAAATCCCTAGTTTTACAAAAATGTTATGCTTTTGTCATTTCTGCCTAAGTTTTATGCTGGCACCATTTCCTTCCTTTGTCAGTGGGGACAACTTCCAGATGTAGGGCAGTGTGCTGTATTAGACCCATTTAGATCAGAGGATTACTTTATAGAATCTTACTTTGAATCTTTCCTATTAGATGAAGTGCACTTGAAAAAGAATTTAAAAAAAAACAACTCTGGTTCCTTCCTGCTGAGAATCACACACACAGATTTTATTGATTGGGTTTCCAGTTAACTTTGCCTGGGATTGACGGACACGAGCATTGTTCCTAGGGTAACGTGTTGGGCCTCCGGAGTGTGCTGCTTGGCACTGACCTGCAGGCTGAGGGCAGTGGTGGAGCAGGCCTGGTGGTCAGTGTGTATCGGGAAAACTAGGTGGAGTATTTTTTTCGCAGAGTGACCCAGGTTCAAGTGCTGGCTCAGTCATTTGCTTAACTTTAGACTCAGTCTCCTCTGTAATACAATAGAGTTGATGGATTTTGTCAGATTTCTGTAGAGCACTGTACATTCCTGGCACATGTTAAGTGCTCAAGATACAGTAGCTGTTAATATTTTAAACAAGACTAATCTCTAATGATATCAACCTTTGATTATCCTTTGTAACTTCTGACTGATAAACTGTAGGTTCTGTGTTTGCTAGGTAGTTAATAAATGCTGCTCACCATTAATCTAAAATTAATACTGCTAAGTACTGTAAATTACATATTCATTATCAAGGTATTCATGGAGAGGACATAGTATATGAAAAAATTGAAGAAGTAAGGCTTTCAGAAGAGTAGAGTTTGTAGCAAGCATTCTGCTAGGAATGCAGTGACTGGCGGCGACAGAACCTAAGTCATCCTGGAGCTCAGCACCTTTAGCAGGAGTCTGTGTCAGGGTTTCCATTAAATAGACAAGGACTCAATGTACTGTTTTTGAAAATCCATGTTGTACCGTGAATCATATGAGGAACTAGAAATAGAAATGGTTCCTTGTAAATTTGATCATCTCAGAAGTGACACATGAATTAACATCAGGTGGCACTTTCACTTTAGGGAGAAAGGATTTTGAAAGAGTGAGTGCAGGGGTGTAGAAGTGTGGAGCAGCATACTTCGTCCAGGGGCACAGGCTGACACTGAGTGGCTGGGGAAGAGAAGAGACTAGAGAAGTTGTCTGTAGTGCAAGTCAGAAAACACTTGTGGCTTGGAGGAAGGCGGAGTGGTGGAGCTTGGAGGGTGTGAAGGAAAGCTTCCCTGTTGGAGAGAAGAGTGCAAAGAAGGTAGAACAGTGGGAGTCTGAGGAAGGGCAGAGGACGCCCAAAGGCAGTGGTGACAGGAACAGAAGTGAGATGGAGTGAGAGTGCCTGTCACAGCAGGACACGGTGAGGGCTGGGTGGGAGCAGCAGTGGTGGGGCCTTCTTCAGTAGAGCCTGCAAGTTTGGGGCTCAGTGCTGAGCATTAAATGTTGGGCAAGTAGAACCCAGGAGCTCATGAAACATTTAGTGGGAACAAAGGTCACAGGGCACTGAGGCAGAGGGCTCAGTAGTGTGGGCCCCAATGAGCTGTGAAAGGTGCCATTCACTTGCAGGTGGGCAAGGAAGCACAGTGGCCTTTGTGTCCACTGAAGGGATGGCTGAGGGGGCAGTGGCTGTGGGAAGGAAGGGGCCTCCTGGGGAGTCGAGGACAGGCTGCTGCAGGCAATTCTAACTGCACTCATTTATGGACATCAGATGAGAATTCCATGTATGTATACAGTGTTAGCTTTTGTCTCCTTAAATATTCAATTGTTTGTTTCTGGTAACTTTTGGGCTTCTAGTTCTTTATAAAATGTGTAATAAATTGTAAACTATAGTTGGCCTGCCTATGGGACACTAGAACTTAGTTCTCCTGTGTCTGTACTTTGATGCTCTTTATCCACATCCCTCTGTTGTTCCCACCCTTCCTGCCCCCTAGGGACCTTTTCCCTCCTTTCATGAGAACAGCTGTTTTGTCTTTCACTCCTGAGAACAGGTGGAACTGTGGTTTCGCTTATTGCATTCATTCTGTAGATTTTTAGTTCGTGTG